TATAATTAAGCAATTATAATTAAGCAATAGGTCTTATGAACAAGTAGAATGGGCCAAATGAGGAAACGTAGAAGTTGGCTTTGTGGAAATGCTCATGGCCTATACCTAATTAGACATCAGATGAAAGCCCAGCCAAGCAGGTAAAACACAGGTGCTTCAGAGGCCCAACAGAATGACAGAAAGAAGTGATTATCTGTGCAGGAGGGAAGCATCTAGTTAACAAGTGATATGCTAGAACAGGCACCAGTGAGGTATAGGTAGAAAGGTAGATAGTCACCATTATTAGCAGGCACAGACAGTGGTAGTGAGACCTAGTTTCTAGATTATGTTGTGGTATTTGTACATTATCTAGGCAGAAATGAAGAAACAAATCAGGAGCTCTGAAACTGGAACATGAGATTTGGAAAAGTAGCTTTTAGATGACTAAGGTGTAAGGGCAACCCAATTTCTTGAATAGGATTATAGGGTTAAAGAGGAAAACATTGACTTAATTGGAGTCAGATTAAAAAATGAATAAAGCACCATTAAGCAGTTTACAGTCTAGTGAAGGAGCAAACTTATATAACAAATTATATAGTGAGTTAAAAGATAAGTGCTATGGATAGGAAAGGAGAGAGGATGGGAGCAGGCTTATAGTTTAAACAGGGTAGGTTGTGGGTGAGGGAAAACTTGAAGGAAGTGAGAGAGTGAAACAAAAGGGCATGGTTATTTGGGGGAAGAGCATTCTAGGTGAAAGGAACAGCCGGCGTGAATGTCCTGAGGTGAGAATGTAAAAATATAATAATAATAATAATTGCTAAAGAGGGAGAAGAACAAGGTATTTAGAGAGAAATTAGTGAAACTAGGAATACATAGTGTTTTGCCAAATATATTGCACATTTTTCAATTTGATCTTAGAGTCCTTTTCAGTGTCCAGAAATCTTACTTTAGTATATTTCATTATTCATTACTTACTTGAAGATACTTGATTATACTGCCAGACTGAATAATGAAGTAGAGGTAGGAAAAAATAACATCAAGAAAGACAGCTAAAAAGACATTTGGATCAATTAAATTGTGGACATACTTTTAATCTGTTAACATTTCTTAAATTGTTTATTTCTCCCCCCTGCCCCGCCCACCTTTTTTAAGAGACAGGATCTCACTGTGTTGTCCAGACTAGAGTGCAGTGGCATGATCATAGCTCACTGTAGCTTCAAACTCCTGGGCTCAAGTGATCCTGCATGTAGCTAGGATTATAGGCACACATGCCTGCTACCACACCCGGCCTTTTTTTTTTTTTTTTGTAAAGATAGGATCTCTCACTAAGTTACCCAGGCTGCTGGATTCCAACTCCTGGCCTCAAGCAATCCTCCCACCTTAGCCTCTTGAGTGGATAGGATTACAGGCATACCACCACTATGCCCAGCTTGATTACTCTTAATGAACCCAGAGAGAAGCTTTATATGGATAATCTCAAACCTATAATCTCTTTTATACCTAAATCATACAGTTAAAAATGAAAATTAAATATCATTGAGGTTTGATAAGTTTTATATAATTGGCTATAAGATTATTTGATTATTGGTGGAGTTGACTATTTTTCCATGGGCTTATTAGTTGTGATTTCTCTTATGAGCTGCCAAATTATGTTTTCCTTTGCTCATTTTATTCAGGTCTTGATACTTTTGCTTTTTAGTCTTTATCTGTATAATCGATGGGGAATGGAATGTCATACATTTTTTTTTTCCAAAGGCTTTTAAAGAAGCAATTTTTTCACCGGGCACTAAAAGTAATGAAAATGAAGTATGATAAGGACATAAAGAAAGAAAAAGATAAAGGAAAAGCTGAAAGTGGAAAAGAAGAAGATAAAAAGAGCAAGAAAGAAAATGTAAAGGATGAAAAGACAAAAAAGGAAAAAGAGAAAAAAAAAGATGGTGAAAAGGAAGAATCAAAAAAAGTGAGTTCAACTAAAATAAAAATAAAAATCATGCACACACATGGCATATGAACACATTTAAAATATGCAACAGCCACTTGAGATAACCGTATTAGGGTTATTATAAATACTATTGTTGAGAAGTTTTATTTCTGTGTTACGAATAGTAAACATTTATTGACTGTATGAATGTCATATTGGGTTTTTTTGCTTGCTTGTGTTACTTCTTCTAATTCAACTTGTGTTTTTATAGGAGGAAACTCCAGGCACTCCCAAAAAGAAGGAAACTAAGAAAAAATTCAAACTTGAGCCACATGATGATCAAGTTTTTCTGGATGGAAATGAGGTGAGAGTATTTAGCCTATAATTAGAAATCTAGTTTTCCAGAGAAGTTTTTAGAAATAAGTTTCTAATGACTTCACTAATAAGTCATTTAGATAAATATAATCATGCATTTAAGTATATAAAGCTACTGTATTTTTAAAAGTCCATAATTTCTCTGAACTTAGATTTTTAAAAAGTCAGAATTAGATTTGGCTGTGTGTGATAGGAAACCTGAAATGACAGTGCCTTAATACAAAAATAGATGCTTATTTCTTTCTCATCAATGAAATCTAGAGGTAAGCACTACAGATGGGCAGCTCCATGGTTGACCCCAGCTCTTTCTATCTTTTCTCCTCTTTGTGAGGCTTCTAGCTAACATTACTTCGTGGTCCAAAATGACTGCCAACCTCATATCTGCATCCAAAAGAGGAAAGGAGAGTGAGGAACCTGCCTCCTCTTTAAGGAGATCATCCTAAGGGCACTGCCCAGGAACCTGACAGTTTCATTTTTGCTTGGATTCCATTGTCCAGAACCTAATCACAAGGTCATGCTCACCTGAAGTAAACTCACAGAAATGCACTTTTTATACTAGGTGATTATTTGCCCAGCTAAAATGTAGGGTTTCCATTATTATCAACAGAAAACCAGCAGAATGGTTAATAGGGGACACCTACTGGTCTCCCTTATACAATACATAGTCAGACACATCACATCAGGAGCCTAAAATTTTCAAAACTACTTGATGCTTTGCTTGAGGAGATGGTTTTTATTGTATCTTTTGTAATGGGAGATTTGTATGGTGGTAGCCTTCCATGGAGACTACTTAATTTAGTCACTTAACCAATACATAAAATTTAGTTATATACTAGCCATTGAACTGTTATGAATTTCAAGACATAGCCCTTTTGCTATACCTATACAAAAGTAACGTATGTAAAGTAGTGGCTCCTAGGGCTATGTGTTTGAAATTCTGGGACAGCTTTTCAAAAATATGTGTTCAAGGGTCGTTCCAGACAAACTTACATGAGAATATCTAGTGTGTGATGGGGGGGAGGGTTATATATCTGTAATAAAGTGTCCTCAGGTGATTCTGATATAAACCGCCAGTAAAGAACTGCTATAAGAGAAGACCGTAGGTCTTTTTTCACGTGAGAACTCAGATACCCTCAGTTAAACATTGAGCATTAGCTATATGCCAGACATTTGTATAGGTGCTAGGAATAGCATGATAAGTACAATAAAATTCTTTGCTAGGAAGCTCTTATAGCCTAGCAAAGATAAAAGCATTTAAACATGTTAGTATATTACAGTGTGGTAAGTGTTAACGGTGTGAGAACACCAATTAGGAATAGTTAATTTAATATGAAAGTATAAGGAGGGTCTGGAGACCCTGGACACTCAAACTGAGCCTTGAAGGATGACTGGCAGATTGCCAAGAAGGAGTTATAGGTATATTAGGGAAAGAAGCAGCCTGAGCAAAAGCATGGGTGTTTGCTATCATATAAAAGCTAGATTTTATTCTGTAGAAAGCAGCATGCACTCCGTAACTTTTAAAGTTGGGAAATGTCTATTTTAAAAAACATATCTTTTTAGAATGGAAACTGGCAGAAGTAATGTCCATGGATCTGATTCCTAAGGAAAATGTGTAGAGTGAAATAGGAAGGGGTTTGAAGTGGAACCCCAGCTGTTAGAAATAGAGAACCTAGTTGGAAAGACACTAAAGAGTTCTGGTCAATGTAGAACTAGGAAATGGAAGAGTACTATTATTTGTAGAAACTGAGAGATGAAAGCAAGAGGTAAAACTATGAGTTTTATGGATGATGAAATAAATTCCTATTGTATAAAATAATAGCCTGATAAAAGTAAATTAAGCTTTGAAGCAGTGGTTCGCATTTTATGGGCTATTGACCCTCCATGGATGAGTGGGCAGTGAAATTAGCCAGGGAGTGATAGAATCTTTATGTTCACCAAGCATTATCTTTAATAATGGTTCTTCATGTCTTACCAGTAGGAGACAAAAGGGTGAAGTTGAGAGCTACTGGATCTGTGATAGAGCCTGGTTGGAATCTGTCTTAACTGTGTTAGCCCAAACATTGTTACATTAGGGACAAAAGGTTGACAATTGCTGCTCTTTCAGTTGAATATATAATGATTTAAACACATGGACAAATTGTTAAATGCATGTAAGTACATACAAATCTACAAAGTTCATTACAGAATTTATAGTTTTCTTGTAATCATTTTCCAACTGAATGGATCCCAAAAGAACCACTACTACTGAAGAAGGAAAAGGTCTTTGGAATTCGTTTACCTTAGAAAGTATTTCTCATGTGTTAAGAGGTTGATGACTGCCTCAGGGTACCTAAAATAAAGAATTAAGCATTACCTTCTAATGTGACCTTAGAACTTTTAAGCACCAAAGTTTCTTGATTCTTCTAGGTATATGTATGGATCTATGACCCAGTTCACTTTAAAACATTTGTCATGGGATTAATTCTTGGTAAGTAGCAGGATGTAAGTAGCTTTAAAGTACAATCTAAAATTTAGAAAACAAAGTGCAGATGCTATTAGAGAAAATATTTCTAAACGTAACATAAAATAGCTATCATTTAAAATGTGTACTTTAAATAAAGTCAGAAGATAAATGTTAAACTAAGGAAAGTTTTTGGAACACATCAAAACAAAGATCCTTGAGAAATTGACAAACTGATTAAGAGGATTACAAAGTTTGACAGTGAAGATCTTAGAAAAAATCAACACTCGCCAACAATTGATATAATAGGTGGTATGTCCATTATTTTAGTCTTTATGAAGGACAGTTTAGCAATATCTTTCAAATTCTACATGCATATACAATGACCCACAATTCCACTTCTAAGAATTTATCCCTTGGCTGTTCTCATACAGTTGCACAAAGAATATGTATTGACATATTGTCTATTTTAATCTAAATCCTTCATACTGTACTTAGAGTAATCTAGCAACTATCTTTCAAATTTGAAATGCCTATACCCTTTGATCTAATAATTCCACTTTAAGGAATTTGTCCTATGCTGTAATCACAGGTACACAGATGTACACATACAAGGGTTTTTGCAATAGTGTCGGTAACAGGATAAAATGAAACAAGTTTCTCAATAGGAGAATGGTGAAGTAAATTACAGTCCAACTACCCGATAGAATACTGGGCAGCTTTTAAAGAGTTAGGGTGTACTGATAGAAAGATATCTAGAATAGATTAAGTGAAAAAAGGAAGTTGCAAAACATTAAGAATAGTGTAAGCTCATTTATTTAGATAAAAAAATTCTGTGGAGCTAGTTTTAATTATATATAGGCAGTCTCAGGGAATACAAATAAGCTTAGTAGTAGTTAACCTCTGAGGAGTGGAGCAAGAATTAGATGAAGACTTAATCTTTGCTATACCTTTGGATTTGATTTTGATTTGGTTTTTTAGTGTGAGTGTATAGTCCTGTAAGTTCAGGCCAAGTTTTGTGGAGAAAGAATGATTTAACAAATAGAAAAAGAAAATAGCAGTTAAAGTAAGCTTAATCAATATAATATCACAGGATCCCATTCAAAATAACTTTTTTATAGCAGAGTTGAAATTCAATCAAACCCAACCCAAATAGCTAACGGTTATTGATTACTTACAATGTAGTAGTCACTTTGCTAAATATTTTACATACAATGTCTCATTTCATCCTCACAACAACCTTTAAAAAAGAGGAACAGGCACTTATTAAATATAAGATAACTTAGCCTCAAAAGGGTTCAGTAACTTGTCCAGGGTTACTCACAAATGATAAAGCTAGATTCGAATCTTGGTTTTCCTCTAAAGACCTAATAACAAAGTTTCTAATTTCTTATAATTAATTCGTGTGACCCCACTTTACTTGTGGAAAAAAAAAAAAACTAGAGATGCTGTATACAGTTTTCCTAAGTACTAAAAACCATCTGTGGCAGAATCACCTGGGGACCTTTTTCAGTCTGGATATCAGAGCTCCATTCCAGAATCAGAATCTCCAAGGAAGGGTCTTTGGAATCAATTTTTGTTAGGTTTGTTATTTTATTATTTCTTTTAGTTCTCCTACTCAGTAGGCAAATAATCTTAATATTTAAAAAAATAAGATA